TAGCCATTCTGACAGGTGTAAGATGGTATCTCAGAGTTGTTTGGATTTGTATGTCCCTGATAGCTAAGGATGTTGAACATTTCCTTAAGTATCTTTTGGCCATTTGAGATTCTTCTGTTGAGAATTCTCTGTTTAGCTCATTACCCCATTTTTAAATTGGGTTATTTAGAATTTTGATGTCTAATTTCTTGAATTCCTTATATATTTTGGAGATCAGTCTTTTATCTGATGTGAGGTTGGTGAAGATCTTTTCACATGTAGTAGGCTGCCTTTTTGTCTTATTGCCCGTGTCCTTTGCTTACAGAAGTTTCTCATTTTCATGAGGTCCCAGTTATTTTTTATTGCTCTTAGTGTATATGCTCCCGGAGTTATATTTAGGAAGTGGTCTCCTGTGCTCATGCAATGAAGACAACTTCCCACTTTCTCTTCTATCAGGTTCAATATGGTCAGGTTTATATTGAGGCCTTTAATCCATTTGGACTTGAGTTTTGTGCCTGGTGACAGATATGGATCTATTTTCATTCTTCTACATGTTGACATCCAGTTATGCCAGCACCGTTTGTTGAAGATGATTTCTTTTTTCCATTGGATAATTTTAGCTTCTTTGTCAAAAGTCAGGTGTTCATAGGTTTGTGGATTAATATCCGGGTCTTCATACCAATTCCATTTGTCAATGTCTCTGTTTTTATGCCAATACCAAGCTGTTTTCATTACTGTAGTTCTGTAATAGAACTTGATGTTGGGCATTTCCTTTATTGTACAGAATTGTTTTGGCTATCCTGAGGTTTTTTTCATATGAAGTTGATTATTGTTCTTTCAAGGTCTGTGAAGAATTTTGTTGGGGAATTCATTGAATCTGTACTTTTTTTTTGGTAGGATTGCCATTTTTACTATGTTGATTCTTCCTATCCAAGAGCATGAGAAATCTTTCCATTTTCTGGTATCTTCTTCAATTTCTTTCTTCAAAGACTTAAAGTTCTTCTCAAATAGGTCTTTCACTTCTTTGGTTAGTGTTACCCCAAAATATTTTAAGATGTTGGTGGCTATTGTGAAAGGTGATGTTTCTCTGATTTCCCTCTCTGCCTCTTTATCCTTTGTGTATAGGAGGGCTACTGATTTTTTTGAGTTGATAACATATAAGTTTAAAAAAACAGAAATTTGACCAGAAGTATCCCACATAGATGATCAGTGCTGTTTTCAGTAGGTACAGGTTAGTAAATGGAAATTTCAGTGTCCTGCACTAGTTACTTCCTCATGAGGTTGGTTAGATAGGCTGTAGAAGCAACCAAAGGAACACAGGCTCCTGTTCTTGCTTTTGGTTGCCTACCAAAACATAAATAGATGGTAAGAAGTTATTGGTGAAGACACCACATACTTTGATTGCAGGATACAGAAATCAATCTTGAACTGACCCAAAAAATCCCTCCCTACTGCATAGGTTTTATAGTGCTGTAAGGCTATGCAGGTTGCTGGGGTTGGGGGTCAATGTCAGTGGTCTTACTCAACATTGGACCTTTGCATGCTGCCATATGAATTTGACAGGCAGGATGTGCCAACTGGTGCAACAGTAGCAAGAATGTTAATGGTGATAATCAACCACCAACTAATTGGACCTGAGCCTTAATCCAAAGGAAGGAATTTGTGCTCAATATTGTAAACATGGTCAAAACCCAAAGGATAACTTTAATTATATCTGTAATCACTATTGCTGTGATTAAACACCAAGACCAAATCAATTTATAGAAGATGGAATTGATTTGGACTTGTGGTTCTACAGGGTTAGAGTCCATGATAGCAGATCAGAGGCAACAGGAAGCAGGCATAGTAGTAGGATCAGAAGCTAGGTGTTAACATCTTAAATGGCAAACATGAAGCAGAGAAAGATAATTGGAAATGGTCCATGAATTTGAAACTTCAAATCTTATCCTCAGTGACATACATACTCCAGCAAGGTCATACTTCCTAATCCTACTCAAACAGGACCAAAAACTTGCAAGTAAATATCAACATACCTGAAATTATGGAAACACCTCATTCAAGCCACCACATTTTACTCCCTGACCACAAAGACCCCTGGTCATACTGTAATGCAAAATGCATTTACTCCAACATCATATGTGTCTATAGGCTCTCACTGTCTCAACACAGTTTTAAAGTTCAAGGGCCAAAGTCTCTGGTGATACTCAAGGCAATCTCTTATTTGTTACCTACTGTAAAAGCAAAAAGCAAATTTCATATTTCCAATATAAAATGGTGCTTAATGAATATTATCTTTCCAAAAGGGGGAGCTAAATTTAAAATGGATTGATTGTATCGATTTAATACTATTGAAGCATTAATATAAAAAGAAGTACAATGTAGATGTGCTTGACAGTATCGATGATCCTGAAAATAATTATGATGTAAGAAGCCATTAAATTATATGATGTGTAATCTACTCTGTATAGACAATAATCATATCAGTTTCTGTCCGTGAGAGGGCAGAGTGTGGGGAAGAAACGAGAAGAAGGAATGTAAAATGTAGCTGCAGATTTCTCTCTTACCTGCAAGGTCTCGAACAATCATTCTAAAACTCATTATTAATTACATATGCTTGCTCTATTAGCACAAACTTATTATTAACTAACTCTTACAACTTAGTCTAATCCATTACTACTAGATTATGTCTGACCACAAGGCTCATGGCTTTTTACTTCATATCTTGATTATCCTGCAACTGCTGGCATCTCCCTGACACTGCTTTCTTTCTCCCTGTATTCAGTTTGGCTTTTTTGCCTAGCTATATTACACCCTTCCATAGGCCAAAGCAGTTTTATTCATGAACCAATAATAGCAACACATATTTGCAGCATACAGAAATACATCCCACTATATCTCCCCTTTTCTGTCTAATTAAAAAGGAAGGTTTTAGCATTACCATAGTAAAATTACATATAACAAAACGGTTATCAATCAAGAATTACAGTTAGAATATTTAGTCTATTTGTATTTGACAAAATTAAAGAAAATATTCTATGGTCAATCCTATCTTTTTGTCTAAAGATTTATAACTAATTTATTTTTATCATAACTGAAGAAAACTATAATTATAACTATCTAGACTTCAACTCCATCAAAGACCCCAGAAAGATATATTACCTGAGTGAACAAGAAGTGCATTGTAAGTAACTTCCAAAGCTCTAGAAATGACAAGGACTTCTGATTCCCTTGACAGTCACCCAAAGTAATTCTGTAACATGAGGCACCCATATTCTTACTATTGGCCTAGAGTATTGGCATACTTCTCAGTGAAGTAGGACATTTGAATACTTGTTCTACCCATATTAGCAGTTTGTCAATCATTTTCCTCTATGTCCTGCAGAATGTCTGGAAGTTTTATTCTGTGAAGCAGGAACTTGAAAGGACCATCCTGCCTTGTTTTAATAGAGGTTAGTGGTCATTTTTATGTGACCCCTTCACATCCAGTTTATACAGCATACATTCAAGCAGTCCAGAAAAGAGAAGTTTCTCACCCTAATGGTTAGCCTTGCTGCATTGAAAGCAAACTTGATAAGGAGCTTCTTCAATGCTCATCATCTTCTTGAAGCAATTGGGGCTGCCAGAAGCAGACTTGTCTACTGTCAAGGAAAATCTAAGTACTTAAAACATTTTCAATGTAATATTCTGCAGTGTGTTGAAGTGTTTGAAGATTACTTATCCATCTGAAATATATCTCTGCATATCTAGAAAACCTAACTAACATGACTCTAAGTTTGACTTTTAAATTGTATTTTTAACTTTACATTACATTTTAAATGAGCTGTATAAACATAATGCTTTAAAAACCTGTAGGAATATACCTTAAATTTGTATCAATAAACCAAAATCCATACCAATATAAAATATTTTGAGATTAACAGTTACTTTTTGGATTAAAGTAGATTTAATAATCAACTTTTAAACTATTTCTGTATCACATACCCCTTTTTCTTTAGAAAGACATTGACTATGATCATAAATCATTTAAGCAATCTTCTATAAATGAAAACAAACATTTATCAATAATATTTTGGGAGTTTGGGCATAGTATACTATACTGCTTCCTTCTGGTTGAAGGTGTAGGTAATCTCATGGGGATCATGAGAAAATTAGAATTTTGGTTAAAACTTGGCTGTAGTAGTCTATAAGGCTGTAGAATCTCAACCAGTTGCCTTGATGTCAGAACAGCTGACATCAAGAAAGGAAAGCAGAAAGTAAAGTAACAAATGAGTCTTATCTACTAGCTTATGCTGCCTTCTTGAAACAGGAGGATGCAGAAATTCAGTTCATGGGAAATGTCTGTTTGAATAGTAACCAAGAAGGCTAGATTAAGACAAAACCAGAAAAAGAGTATTCATTATAACTAGTCTAACTATAACTACAATCTGATTATAACAACTCCAACATTTTATTTTAATATTTTAATAGTGGTATTTTAAGAGTGGTAAGCAATAACATGTGTTGTAGAAAAAACATAATTTAACTGTTACTGGACCCTGAAATGAAACAATTGCATCAATCTAAGACTAAGACAAGTTTCTTCTTGACCACATACATATGGTTAAAAGTCCACAAGGGACAAAAAAAAATGAAAAGAACAGAAATATTTGAGGCATGGGATATTGAACAAACACAGGTTTCCCTTGAAAGAGGATGGGAATGAGCAAGCTAAAGCTGGTGTGTGCCTTCTCATGAAATAGCTAGAAGCAGTGAAGTAGAGCTAGCAGAGCACAGACTCCCATAGTCCTTTGTACTACACTTGAACACAAATATATTTCTTTTTTTTTTTTTTGCTGCTTCAAAAGGCTTTATTTTTACTTGGTCCAAAACTTGAGAGGGGCTCCAGGGCGTTACAAAGCTGCCTAGTGGCTTCTTGAGAGGTTAGGGTGAAGGTCCTGAGGCAGGCTGGTACAGAGCAGAGGTGGGAGCCCCTCAGAAGGAGAGGCCTCCTAGTCATGCTTGAGAGTGAGCCGCTCAAAGAGCTACTCACCCAGAGATGCCTGGGGCCCAGTAGCCAACCTGCGGAGGTTGGTCAGGTGGTTGCCCATCTTCTTGATGACCTTCACCTCCTTATCCAGGAAGTGGTTTTCAAGGAAGTCACAGAGATGAGGATCTGTGCGGGCAGAGCCCAGGGAATGAAGATCCAAGAGGGCCTGGTTCAAGTTCGTCTCCAAGGCCAGGGCAGCTTCCATGGCCTCCTGGGTTTTACCCCACTCATCTTGAGATGGCTTCTGCACATCCTGAAAGAGTGCACGGCCTCCGCGATCGTTCTGCAACTTGAGGAGACGCTCGGCACCCTCGCGCTTCTCCTCGGCCAATTCGCGGAAAAAGTGGCCTACACCCTCCAGAGCCACGTCATCCCGGTCAAAATAGTAGCCCAGGGAGAGGTAGGTGTAGGAGGCCCGCAGGTGCAGGTTGACCAGGCGGTTCACGGCAGCCTCCACTTCGGTGGAATAATTCTGACGAATCTGGGAGGTCATGGTTGAGACGCAGTCTGGAGCTACCCGCAAAGAGACGGTGTTAGCTGGTCCTGGGAGCTGAAGGTGGCGAGGTGATGGTCCCGGAGGCTGCGGCTGCAGATGAGGAGCGGTGGAAGCTAACAAAGGGAGGCCCCGGGTCTGTTCCGTCCAAACACTGTTGAAGCAAGACACAGATCCACGGGATCTCCGAAGGCTGCTCACAAATATATTTCACAAGAACAAAAATATGTATGAGGACCTGATTCAAATATATTAGTCAAGGTTACCTAATGAGGAGGGGGGCAAATAGTGCTAGTAAAAAGGGAAAAATGAATAAAATAGGAGGGACAGACTCTCATAAAATGAAAAATAGTGTGATAGATTTCAATAATGAAAGTAAATAGACATGTAACTGTCAATAGAGGGCAGTTTATTCAGTTTCCTGTCTGTGAGAGAAAAGACTGGTAGAAAGATATCTATTTTAAACCAGGAATTAAAAATAGGCAGTCTTAGATGCCAAATAGGTAAGGTGATGTCTATTTACAGGGCACATGTTTTCTTCTGTTGTGGTGGTAAGGACATGTCTTTATGGGACACATGGTTTTACTGTTGTTGCTTATAGGATGTCACCCATAACTGATGCACTCTTAATAGGGTCCTATCACTTTGTACAGTAATTAGGTATAATATCTAAAATATGATCAGAAGATGAAGGGAAAGTCAATGCAACTAAAAGTACAGGTTTGAAGTAGCAAACTCTCTGAGTTCACCACAGTCTAACTTGGCTATATGAAGAAGGGAGGAAGCATAAGAAATTTCTCTTGCAGAAGTTTCATTAAAGCTGCCCATTTCCAACCAGACATTGTAGTTCTAGCACATTTCCCCTTTTCCAGGGTGTAAGTCATATCTGGGATGTTCAGGCAGCCTGCCATGGATTCCCTTCATCCCCAAAGGTGTCTGAGGTGGGGCATTGTGATGTTGTCTCAACCCCACCTTAGCTGCTCTTGGCTAGGGCAGACTTTGCTGACCAATCAGGACTGAAGGGTGTGGCCCTCCATTGTTCTGGCAGAGGAGATAAGCAGGGTACTCAGAGCTCTGGGCCAGTCTGCTAGAAAGCCTAGCATGGGAAAGGTGCCCAAGAAACCTCCAGAGACTAGTGCAGATGCAACCCCCTCGACCCTAGGGTCGAAGATGAAGAAGCAGCAGCATAAGACTGCCCATCATCCCAAGAACCACTCCATGCAGAAGACCCAGTGTCGCTGTTATTGTCATCAAATTGTGAAGGTGAGAGGACCTAAGCTTATTTCCTCCTTTCTGAAGCTATTCCCACCCCTAGGACTTTCTCTGGCCCCCTATAAACCCCTCCTCTATCTCTGCCCCTTCTCATAAATCCCCATCCACATGTGTATCTATCTTTTCCCAAAGCAGTGCCCTGTGACCTTGGTGTGTGACCCTTTCAGAGAACCATGAAGAAACAATCCTTGCGAAGAAATACTCATGGAAAGGCTTCTAGGAAAGCCATCCAAATAAGAATTCCAAAGGAGCCTAGCGAAACAGCGTTGGCATTACTGATTGAAGAAACAGGTGAGGATGATGCCAACCTGAACGCACCTGAGCAGAGTCAACCAGGCTTAGACAGCTCCCGTATTTGTGTTGAGGACCTGACCAGCTCCAAGACTCAAGGCACAGATGAAGACCCAATAAACACCAATGCACAGGTCTGGCAGCTGAGTCATGGTCAGTGATGTGAAAATCACATTTTAACACAAGGCCAAGTTCATTGGTGGTGCCAATAAAAGTAATCAGATGTGAAAATGTGTATGTCCTTCCAGTCTCTGATTGTGGGAAAGGGAAGAAGGAAGGGAAGGGTGGGTAGATGATAACAGAGGAACATTGGCTTCTACAACATTGAGAGTGGGATGAACAGCCCCCTGATAAGCAGGCACTGGAGGGTCAAACTGACCCAACACAAATGTCCCTTGAAGATTTGTTTCACAGCGTAGAAGGGAAGGCATTAGGTACGGCTGGGGCAAGGTCTCAGGACAAGACATCTGTAGGAAATGAGATGTGGGTCGCAGTTCCCATCCCGACTTAGACAACCCATCAGCTTTAAGATACATATGTCTTTATGGTATTTGTTACAATCCTACATATGATCTCACTTCCCTGTAATCAGATTGATGACTACCTTAATTGTCATCATAGAACATTCATTCAGTAACTGAAGGAAGCAGATGCAGAGACGCACAGCTAAGCACTGGGCCAAACTCCAGGAGTTCAGTCAAAGAGAGGAAGAAGTAATAATATGAGCTAAGGGGTAAGAACCATGATGGGGAAACCCACAGAAACAGCTGACCTGAGCTAGAGGGAGCTCACTGACTCCAGACTGTCAGCTGGGGAAACTGCAGAGGACACTGAGCTAGGCCCTCTGAATGTGGGTGGCAGTTGTGTGGTTTCGTCAGTTGGTGGGGTCACTGGTAGTGGGACCAGAATTTTGGGGGGATTGTGGGGGCTCAAGGCAGGGTTCCTCAATAGTATGGAGCCAGTCCCAGAAATCGCTCTTTAGACCAGGCTTACCTTGAACTATCAGAGATCCTTCTGCCTCTGCTTCCCAAGTTAGGATTAAAGGCATGTGCCACCACCACCCGCCTTTATCCCTACTGCATGAAAGGACTTTTGGAGCCCATTCCCTATGGAGGGATACCTTGTTCAGCCTAGATACAAGAGGGAGGACCTTGGTTCTGCCTCAATGTGATGTGCCAGACTTTGTTGACTCCCATAGAAGGCCTCATCCTCTCTGAAGAATAGATAGGGGTTGGGTGGTGAGAAGGAGAGGGAAGCAGGAGGAAGGGAGGGAGAGGAACTAGGATTGGTATGTAAACTACAAGTAGGTAGTTTAAAAAAAAATTTAAAAAGGCCCACAGAAGGGCCAAAGACCTCCTCCTATTGCAAGGTGCCAGTATACTGCAAGGATGGTAATGGTGACTGGGAACTGCAAGTGCAGCACTGATTCAGCCAGCTTCATTCAGAAAATTGGGGAGGAGCAGGACAGTGAGGAGTGGTCTGCCAACCAGGGCTGGCCACCAAGCAGGCAGCAGTGTCTACAGGAAAATGTAAAACAATTGACCTGCCTTTCCAAATAGCTTTACTGTGTATTTTCTAATGCTGGTTTTAATTCCTTCAGGAAGTATCCTGAAACTGATGTCTCAAAAAATTGTTTTGAAAGAGAAAAATGAAACTGGACAGGTGATGCTGTACTAGGAGTTCAAACATCAGGGAGAATTTGCTCCAGACACCACTCACACAACCACAATTGATGCAAAATCAAGAGGATTTTTATTCTGTCATGACAAGTCCTTTCAGGTTTGGGATATGAAGGACATCCAATAGCTGTTACAGCCCATCTTTTAAAGCAAAAAGCCACAGATACAGGGGGAAACCTGAAGGTTGTTTTCCAACCTATTGGATTGGCTTATTTAAAGGGTTATTAGCAGTGATTGGTCTATTTCAGGGCAAGAGAATAGCTGCGTGGTTGGGTGAGATAAGGGGGAACATCTGTGTGTCATCCTGACCTTGTCCTAGTGACTAAATTAATACATCAGGGACTGAGTCAACATCTGTGGGATGTATTTGCCTCAGTCTTCAGAATGGAGTTATGTTTGAAGATTATTCACAAGGACACAGGAGGATGAGCAGTCCAGCATGTGTGTGGGGGTGACTGTCCCATTTCCAAATTTTAAGAGGCTTCAAAAATGTCTTTAGAGCTGAGAGGCCTCAGAAATGCATTTAGAGTCTTTCATTCCCTCCTCTTGTTTTGCTGAATCCCAATCTTTGGATTTTCTGAGGTCTCTCTTGAGAGCCTGATATTGGTGGTTCAGTACTAAAGCTTGGGTAATACTGAGTCTTTCACAAATATACGTCAGGAGTCAGTTGAAAATGCAAGGTCCAAAAGTTAAGAGGAGTAGCCAAATGAGTAAGAAGCCAATGTTGCAAGCCTATCATAGGTCAGTAGAGGGCAATAGGTAATATTGCTGAAATTTTTAGAAGAGGCTATCCCCTCATAATAGGGAGCCCCTGGTACCAAACAAAGCCAACAGGATTTGGTCCTGTTGGGGTTTTTAGGGAGGGAGCTGGGAAATGGCGAGGCCTTAGGGCTTGGTGTGGTGCTTAGGGACCCTGCAGAAGGGGGCTAGTTTAGGCCACCTGACAAATATTTCAGTCACAATGTCTACATGTAGGATAAGAGTCCCAGAGAATTATTTGGTATTTTTTTTAGAGTCCTTAGTTTAGTTTTGGGTGTGTTGAAGCTTTTATCTGGAGGGTCCCAAGTCATCCTGTGGAGGTGCTGGCTTCACATGAGATTTGTGGATCCAGGTTGCAATTTCATCTACTTTGAGAGTGGTGGGTGTCATAAGGAGCATGGTGTAGGGTCCCTTCCAGGGAGGTTTAAGGCTCTGGGACTTGTATTGAAGAGTGGCAAGCAGCAGGCTTTGTTCCTGCTGCCCAGCTCCCAGCCACCTGGCTAGCTTATGCCCCAAAATAACAACACATAAATTGTGTTCATTTAAACACTGCCTAGCCCATTAGTTTCAGCCTTTTATTGGCTAATTCTCACATATTGATTAATCCATTTCTAATAATCTGTGTAGCACCACGAGGTGGTGGCTTACCAGGAAAGATTCAGCATGTCTGACCTGGCGGCTGGTTCCATGGGCATCTGACCCAGAGAGGAGGGGCATGGTGATTGCCTCACTTCCCTCTTCCTACCAGCAGTCTGTTCTGTCTACTCCACCCACCTAAGGGCTGGCCTATCAAATGGCCAAGGCAGTTTCTTTATTAACCAATGAAATCAACACAAAACAGAAGATCCTCCCACATCAGGGACTGATGTCTCCAGACTTATACAGAATCACCAACGGATGTGAAATCTCTGGGTGTCCAGGCTGGTAGGCAGCAGCCAGAGGTTTCCACACCTGGGCTTGGATGATCAGGAGGGCCTTTAGGTGGGCAAATAACAGTCTGGGAAGAATAGTATCAGGATTATGTATCTCACCTGCCTTAGTGAGCAGTGGCAGCCCTCACATAGGATCTCATAAGGCGTGAGTTTAAATCGTGCCAGGGTGTTTTGAACACAGAACAGGAAGGGAAGGAGGTCTGTCCAATCATTTTTGCCAGTCTCTAGAGCCAATTTTGTCAAGATCTCTTTT